AGCTTCTTCCTAAAGACTTTTTTACCTGAGGGGGTCAAGTTTACCAGAGAAAGCCAGCTCCTCTTTTGCCACCACACTATTTCCAAACACGGTTAGTGTTAAGAGCCCAGCAGCATGCCAACCCCTGGAGACCAAATCCAAAGAAGTCTGACATATAGAAAGAATTTGGGGACTTTGCCAATTTGTATCTCCAAGAATTTCAGGAACATGTGAAGGAGTAGAGTTTGAATGTGCTTTTATGATATCAATATGATGCCCTTGGCAAGACAATTCTAGGTTCACTGAACTCAAGAAGCTGGATGTGGCTTTAATACTTTGCAAAATTCGATTCAACACAGGCCCACACTAAGTGAAGCCGAGATGCCACAAGTCCTTCATATAGTGTATAGCAGAGGTTCTCAGATTTTCCTGTGCATCAGAATCACGGGAGAGCTTTAAAAACAGATTGCAGGGCCCCATCCCCAGAGTTTGTGATTCTAGAGGTTTGAGACAAATGTGAAAATGTGCATTTCTAACATGTCCTTGATGATGATGATACCGCTAATCCAAGGACCACACTCAGAACCCCTGGTGTAGAGGGAGGAGATAAAATACTTCCAGACACAGGAACTTTGGATTAGTTATCTGACTGAGATAGTCTAGGCCGTGAAACCAGGTAGGAAAGCTAGCCTATGTAAATCCCTATCAATTAGCTACCTAACTGTCTTTCCCAGCATAAGCTAGATAACTGTACCTTTATCAAGGGCCTTAAGCATGTATTAGCGCTGGCTTCAAAGCACCAATGTAGTCTTTTAAATTTAAGGTTATTGCCTGGCTGGGCATGGCTCAGGGGCTGAGCGTAGACCTGGGATCCAGGCGACCCGGATTTGATTCCCGGTCAGGGCACATACCCGGGTTGCGGGCTTGATCAATGACTCTCTCATCATTGATGTTTCTATCTCTCTCCCTCTCCTTTCCTCTCTCTGAAATCAATAAAGATATAAAAAATAAAATAAATTTAAGATTATTGAGGTATAATTTACATAAAATCAATGGACATCCTTGCCTAATTCCTAGTTTTAGAGAAAGCATCTAGTATTCTTACCATTAAATACTGTGTTAGCTGTATCGGTTGTTCTTTTTTATTGGTTTTTGTAGATGCCTTTTATCAGGTTGATCCTCATTTCCTGAGAATTTTTATCATGAGTGAATGTTGAATTGTGCTAAATATTTTTCTCTACATCTTTTGATACAATCATGTGGAGTTTTTTTCTTCAGTCTGTTAATATGGTTCATTACCTTAAGTGACTTTCAAATGCTGAGCCAGCGTTGTATTATCTGGATACACCCCACTTGGTCAGATGTATTCCCTTTTTTACATATTGATTGCTTTGTTGGTATTTCGTTGTGAACTGTTTGCTTATGTTCAAGAGGGATATTAGTTTGTAGTGTTGAAATAACTTGCTAGGCCCAAGATGGAGCTGCCCCTGCCTAGGTTGCCTCATCAAACGGAAACTTAAATAACTTTTGTGTCCCTGTAGATGCTCCGTTTGACCAGCAACACAGTGACCCAGGCAGCTGATCTCCAGTTGCCAAACCAGCTCTGGGTCCTATACTTCTTTCCTTGTCCCTTGTTCTCTGTCCTATAGAAACTCCCTTTTCCATCCCATCACACAGCTCTCCAAGTGGAGACCATCACAAAATGTTAAAGTTAGTTTGCATTACTTGTCTTTTTTTTTAAACAGTACTTTACTTTTCTGGTAATTTCTTTGTCTCATTTTGCATCAGGATAATGCTGACCTCATAAGATGAGTTGAGAAGAACTCCTCACTTCTACGCGAGTGGGAACGCTTGTGTAGGATTGATTTGTTTTTCCTAGATGTTTGGCAATGAAACCATTTGTTCTAGGTCCCATCTTGATCATATCCTAGGAACATGTCCCCAAGAAAGCAGTCCCTAAAGAATGATCAGACGCCACGTAGGTCCAGAAACTTACTTCTGTCAGTGCAGCTAGAATCGACCTGGTTCAGGGAACTGTCTCAAGCTAATCAAATGAGACTTATTCTTCAAGCCCCCACTCAGCCAAGCACTGTACCAAGAATTTTATATTTACACTATTTTATGCGTTCTGTGATCTAAAATGCCAATATTTACATCGAGGGACAAACCTCTCCAGTAACCAGAATATGTGTGTCCTCTGTGTAGAGCAGGTGTTGGGCAAACTACTGCCCATGGGCCAAATTCAGCTTGCTGTTTTGTTGGAGCACAGCCAAGCCTCTTCTTTGCCTATGGCCTGAGATTGCTTGTGCTAGGATGGCAGGTAAGTAGTTGTGCCAGACTGTGTGAGCTGACCCACAAAGCCTAAAATATGTACTCTCTGGCCCCTCGTCTAAAGTAGTGATTGTCGACCCTGGCCACATGCTGGAATCACCAGGAGAACATTTGAAAAAGTGCTGATGTGTGACTCCCTCTCTCAGAAATTCTTACCTAGTTGGGTTGGACTGGGACCTGGGCACAGGTGGTTTTAAAGGCTCCCCTGGTGATTCCACCTGGCTGCCAGGCCTGAGAATCCCTGGCTTGCTATTTGTGTTTGTTTTACTTTCCACTCCACTCTAATTATGCTCATGTGCATTTAGGGCTGACAGGCACTCATCTAGGGCAATAGTTTCCACGTCTGGATGGGTATCCGTCACCTGCGGAGGTTTTTAAACTAGCTTCCAAGATCCCACTCCAGACTGACTGAATTAGAATCTCCAGGGACTTAAGTTCCGCAGGCAGTTCTGATATGCAGGCATTTCTTCAAAAGAGGACTGAACCTGGGGCACCCTGTTCTTATTAGCAAGAGTTTCGGTTATTGATTGAATAACCAGAGGATTATTTAGTGAGCATAAGAGTGGAGAAAAGAGATTTCTTGAGGCAGTGTAATGCATACTATAGCGATCCTATTGAATAGTCCGGCCTTATAGAAATGCATCCTCCAGTGATGACAATATCCATTCCTATTAGATACGGTATATCTAACCTCCCTTGTGCAGTGCTACATAAAAAGGAACATGTTTTTCCTTTCTGTTTCTCTTTTATGGACTTTATAAGAATAAGTAATTCCATTGATTTTCTTTCTTTTGATAATCAGATAAACAGGTTACATTATGGGAGATTAGATGGTAGCTTTCCTCCCAGTTCTCTCTTGACCATATACCCCCATCAGCTGGTGTGTTTCTCTAGTCTCTTCAGCATCACATTCACTAATCTCTTAGGATAGTCACTTTGGAGATAGCTAAGCTCACTCAGGCTATATTTTTACCTTGGGCCACCTCAGTCCTGTCCCCCAGTGTACTTTACTACATCTCAAATAGTTTTTGCTCAACTATGAGTCATCTGTCAGTCGTTCAATGTATTAAACAGTATCATCTGTGCTCTCTTCAGTTCAGATGAAATGTGCAGAATCATGGGAGGCTGAGCTGGAAGGGAGTTTATTATAGACCATCTTGTTTAACTTCAAAAGGGCAATATTGCAGGCATTTTGGTTGGGTACAGATCATGCTAATGTGGTTTTTTTTTGTGGGGGGCACCTCATACTCTAGCTGACAATTCTTGACATTGGATTTTCAACCTGTCAGGTGTCCACCTCACTATGAAGAACCTCAGCGGGGCCAAGTCCATCCCTGCGCAGGGCTACTGCTTACCCGTCAAGTCACATCTCTCTGGGACTTACCCTACCTGTCTGTAAAATGAGGAAATGAAGCTGCTCTGTGATACAGGGTCATTAAGAGTTTAAAGTCAGGTGATACAGAAAGCACTTTGTAAACAGGAAAGTGCTGGTTCTTTTGGTTTGGGAAAAGTGTTGCATAGGAAGGAAAACAAAAATAAACAAATCTGAGTATCACTCAGTACTTACACAGGCTCCCAAACCTAAAAGGAATGGTCTTGGAAAGAACTCCTAGTATTTAATTTAATTATCATTATTATTTTTCAGAGAGGGAGGAATGGAGACAGAGAGAGAAACATCTATGTGAGAGAGAGACATCCCGTAGATCAAACCCACAACCTAGGTATGTGTCCTGGCTGGGAATGGAAGCCACATGGGACGACACTCCAACCAACCGAGTCACACCGGCCAGGGCAAGAATGCCTAGTATTTTATTTTATGTTTATGTTTTTATTTATTTATTTAAATTTATCTTTATTGTTGAAAGTATTACAGATGTCCCCTTTACCCCCCCTTCAGCCTCCCCCCACTCCCAGCCCCTCCAAGCCCTTCACCACACTATGATGAGTGCTATTTGCTGGTTAAGTTATCGGCCGATTTCCCTCTAGGAAAAAGCCATAAGCAGCGCTATTAAACAGAAGACTCTGTCTGCTTTCAAGAGATTACAAAGAAGTTAATCAGCTAGTTGTGCTTCAAGGCATTTGTGTTATTACATATGGTAACTCAGAAAATGGGAGAGATTGAAGGACCTGTGAAAATACTATCAACCAATTTAAAAAGCAGATGGGCTACCATATATTTAAATCTATTTTTAAGGCTGGCATAACAAGTATAGGATATCAGTAATTACTATCCTGATGCATTAAATATATAGCTTTAAATTATTTTTACAAGTAAAAACAAAATTTTGTATTTGGTTCAACGAACATTTATTGAGGATATAATGAGGAATCAGGTTGTCCCTCTCCTCAAGGTGCTCCTTGTCCAATAGGGGAAGCAAACACTACAAAGCGATAGAAAATGCTAGGATGGAAGGAGACACAAAGAGCTGTGGGGCTCCGCAAGGACAGTGGGGCGAGGGGCAGGTAGGAGCAGGGACAAATGTCAAGGCTTCACAGAGGAAGCGACATTTTGGCTGAGACTTAGAAGTTGCATTGTCGCCAGGAAGGAAGGGCAAATGGAACAGTGTGTAAAAGATGAAAGCATGTGGTGTTTTCAGGGACCAGGGTAGGCCTGGGATGGGTGTCTGTCAGGCAGTAAGAAATGGATACCCTTTGAGAGAAATAAGGAACGAAGATTGGCGCTATGTTACTTTACTTCACGGTTGGCTGTTTACTCAGTTTTTAGGTTTCTTTAGGAACAATTTTATTTATAATCTGATTTTTTCCAGTTACCCCTTTGTTACATACAGAAATATCATGCCTATCACTGATGAAGCATATTAGGGAAAGTGAAAATATGTATTCTATTCTTTAAAGTGCCTCTGTTTTAAGGGTTTTGCATCTATTAAAAGCTTTCACTGTCCACAGCACTTTGATGGGATCTCTAAAACAAAGCATTACCTAAGAAGAGGTAAAATTATAAATATTTGAAACTTCTATTATTATTTTCCTATCAGTGAATAAGTCATCATAATTTTCAACAGTTGTCTTCAAAATCCTGGTGAGAGGTCAAGAACCCATTTTACAGAAGAAGAAACTGAGGTAAAGCGCTCTCCTTGATCTCAGTGTGAGAGACTGGAGAATGCCAGGGAGGTTATTGTATTTGATCATATCAGGAGTCTTAATCCCTCCTGATACTGTTTAGTTTCAGTTTCTTTTGTAAATCCAAACAAGGGGAAGCGTTTTGAGATTTGTTCTCCGTACCAGAAACACAGCACATGGTGTGCATAAAGTGCTCGAAGTGCAGGGTCCTGCAAGAACTGGAGCCGGGGCTCCTCTCACTGCTCCAGCTAGAAGAAAGGACATGAAACATTGATCGTTCTTGAAGTGTTGATTATGGAGCTCAGCTGGACATCTCAGAAGTCAGAGTACATGGCATGGGCATTGCTTTGAAACCATAATGAATCATGAGTCTGACGTGTCTTCACTGGATTCTTCTTGGATAAGAAGTGCTTCGCTTCTCTTGTTCCAACTGCTGCACTTGACAACACTGTGCAAGCAAACAGGACATTTTAATATTGTCACTAAGGTAACATATAAGTAAGTAGTCTATATTCCACCTTTTCCCTGGTTACATGGCTTCTTGTAAAGTATGCAGAGTATGCATTGAAAGAACAGAACATTCTGAAAAGAATTAAAAATCTACATGAGTTCTTTCTCTTCCAGATCTCTAATGTGTACTTGGCCCATTGTCTACTCTGTGTAGTCCACAAAAACTAGTTATGATTAAGGTTATGACTGAAATTCATGATCAATAGCTATAACTGAAACTAGGACAAGAAGCCATCTGGAAATAATTAAAATAGCATGTAATTTTAATTTTAAAAATATCAAACAGTACAAGGTTAAAAAAAATCTCAGAAGACCATCTACAATGACAATATTAGAAGCATTATTAAAAGGATAACAACCTTTTATCGAGCTGCACAGATTTTTCCAGTTATAAAAGTAATATATGCTCATAGCAGAATATTTATAAGTATATGAAGATTAAAATGAAAATAACCCATTATTCTACTCCCTATGTAGGCAATTTTTATATCATTTTTCATGATATGGATGCACTTTATTTAACCACCGTTGGACATTTGGGTCATTTAAAAAATATTCTGCCATAATGAACTTTATATATAAATGTTGACATCACTGATCATTTCCTTAGGATAGATTTCTAAAAGGAATCACTGGGTCAAATACTATGAACTTTTAAGAAAGCTTTTGATACATGTTTTTATGAGTTGTTTTCCGAAAATGAGAGTGCCCAATAACATTACCACCAGCAATGTATAAATAAGGTGGTCTTATCGTGTGCTCACGAGCAGAGCAGGTACTTTTAATTTTTCCAATTCAATAGGTGAATAATCTCTTTTAAAAAAAGATGTGTAGTAAAAATCACTTTTCATCAAAATTACCGAGGAACTGTAAATATTATCACACCCTGTCTTACACAGACCGAGGTATCAGAGCTCAGTTGAGATAATATGTACTGAGGTCCTACTATGAATGGACATGGGCCAGCCCTCTGAGGAGTTCACAGTCCTGGGAAATTGCCTGCAGCCTGTGCACATAGGTACTGTCCTCCTGCACCCAAAGGCCGGGCCCCACCTTCTCCTGATGCATCAGGGTCATGCTGTCACCTGGTGGGATGGGCCAAGCCCCACGAGACAGGTGAATGGGCTCTCAGTTCAAGGTTTTCCCCAAAGAATGTGTCAAATATTTCTGCTTGGGCCCTGCAGCAACCACTTAGCTAATCGGCGTATGCTGTTTTGTTAAATAAAAGGCAAAAGGAGAAATAAATATTTCCCTTATGTTTATGCCTCTGGTCTATCTTTTCATTCTATATACTATTCATCAGAAACGTCTTGTACTTTGTATTTATTTGGATATTGACAATTAAAAAGAGAGTCACTAAATGAGCCAACTCGCTGGAAAGAGAGCTCCTAACATTCGGTGCCTGCTATCTGCCCTTGTCATTATTCTAGAATCCAGATTAAAGTGTGTTTTTGACCATCAAGGGCTATTACACTCCAGGAAATCATAGTCTGAATCTATATCTATGTCTATATATATATACCTATATCTGTATATACCATCTATATCTATAATCTATATCTATCTATATCGTCTATATCTATATCTATATCTGTATCTATTCTTAGATGCTAATTTAATCAATTGTTCGTATTTAAAGAGACAGGGCAACTTCTCAGAGTCTCTATCTGACCCAGTCTTTCTCTCTCCTAGTTCTGGTCAGCTCTGTCTCTGCTGCTTTTTTGTTAAGTGTCCGAAATTATTGACATGTCTTCATATCTAAATTTTTTGAAAAAAGCACATTCTAAGGCCAATCTTCTACAGACCTATGCACTTTTATTGGTGAGGTTAGGGAGTTCATTTAATTCAGCTATCCTTTGATAAACTGATTAAAAATAAGTACATACCATAGACTGACCACTGGAATTAGTAGCAGACCAGCAGACAGCAGAAAGGTGAAGCCTGTGTACCACGCAACAGTTGCTGAATAAATTCCATTAAAAGTAGAAACTGCAATGACTCCACCAAGTGTTTCAAAGAAAGCAATACAAGCAAACAGGGTCCCTGTTCAGTGTCACGGTACAGGGGGAGAAAAAGAAAAGGCTGAGTTACACAACAACAAACAAAAATGAGTGGACAAAACTGTTATCCATTGAAAAGAACAAAAGTGGGGACACTACTTGGTGAGTGAAAGCTATTCCTTGAAAATCCCTGAGAAGTCAGTAGCCTATTTTGTGGGTACAAAAACTGAGGTCAAGAGTTCTCGTTGGACTTGATGCGAGAGATGTTGAAAACACAATAGTTGACCTTGAACCACACAGTGAATAAGGGCACTGCTAACCCTCCCCCCCCAATAAACATAACTACAGTTATCCCTTGGTATCTGAGGACCACTGGGTCCAGGACCCCCGCAGATACCAAAATCTGCGGATTCTCAAGTCTCTTATACACAGTGGCCTAGAACAATGCACAGCAGTTCCAGTGACAACAGGATAATGCTAGAAGTTATCACAATTCAGAATAGGAAATTCCGAAATGTAAACTAAACATTTTAAAATATCACTACATTTAAACATGTGAAATGACTTTTTAAAAGCCTTTATAAGTAAATGAAATAAAATAAAAGCCAAAATAAACTATGCATCCTGACAAGTCTATTTTGGTTTTAAGTCACAGGTAGACTTTTCTTTTTCCCCTGAACAGTTTGCGATATAATTCACATACCATAAACTCACCCTTTTAAACTGTACAGTTCAGCGGCTCTTAGTGTGTTCCTGGAGTTGGGTGACCATCACTATTATCTAATTTTAGAACATCTTCTTCACCCCAAAAAGAAACTCTGTACCCATTAACAATAACTTCCTTTCTCCCTAGCCCCTAGAAAGCACTAATTTAATTTCTGTCTCTATGGATTTGCTTTTTCTGAATGTTTCATATAAACGTGATCATAATTGTATGATAATATGTGGCCTTTTGTGACTAACTTCTTTCATTTAGCATAACAGTTTCAAGGTTCATCCATGTTGTAATGTGTCAGTGCTTTATTTCTTTTATTGCCAAATAATATTCCATTGGACTGATATACCACATTTCGCTTATTCATTCGTCCGTTCACAGACATTTGCATTGCTTTTAGTTTTTGGCTTTTATAAATAAGACTGCTGCAAACATCTGTGAACAGAATTTTATGTGGACATGTGTTTTTATTTCTCTTGGGTACATACCTAGGAATGGAATTGTTGAGTCACAAGGTAATTAACTCTAACTTTATGAGTAGCTACCAAACTATTTTGCAAAAAGTGGCTGTATCATTTTACACTCCCACCAGCCGTGTGTGAGGGTTCCGATTTCTCCAGGTCCTCACCAACACCGTCTTTTTCATTTTAGCCAACTAGTGGTTTCGATTTGCATTTCCCTGATACCTAATAATGCTGAACATTTTTCACATGTTCTTTATTGGCCATTTGTATATCTTCTTTGGAGAAATGTCTATTCAAATAGTTTGCCCATTTTTCAATTGGGTTGTCTTTTTGCTGTTGAGTTTTATGAATTCTTATATATTCTAGATACAAGTTCCTTGTCAGACATATTATTTGCAAATATATTCTCCCATTCTGTGGGTTGTCTTTTTACTTTCTTGATGGTGGACAAAAGGCTTTAATTTGAATAAAGTCTAATTTATCTATTTTTTTCTTTTATTGTTGTGCTTTTGTGTCATAACCACAGCATAATTCAAGGAAGCAAATAGATCTTTACATGCTATACTTACAAATTTTTATATTCTTAAGTGGTTTTCCACTTATGATCATATAATCTATAAACAGCTGTGTGAATACACAGCTACATCTTATGAGTGGAACAGAATCAAGAAATATATATTTTAATTTCTTGAATTATGCAGCCTTCCCCAGTGGTGACTAAACTGCCATAAATAGGATAGCATAACTATGCATTATTTGTAAACAATTAATATGAACATGAGCACTAGGCTAAGACATGAAACAAAAGAAAGCTCCAAGTCCAGTGATACTCAGATGATACAAAGGGGGGGACAGGCAACTCCATAGGCGGATATTTAATAGGTAACTGGTTCTAGCCAGAAATTTAAGTTTCATTTTCCTTTTGTGCCAGTTATTTGCTGCACTCCCCGTGAACTGTCTGTTCTTCTAGCCCTGCTTGTGCTTAGGGGGCGCACCCCACAAATTCCATGACCTGGACTCCCTCGATGGCCCCACTTCCTATTGCACTTGGTCAGTGGGATGGACAGGAGGAAAGGTCACGGCTTCTCCTCTGCTCCCTCCCTACTGGGCCGCCCCTTCTCTCCACTGCACTCCATTAACATCTCTGTAGGGAACCATCAGAGTGGGATCCTGTTTTTTCTAGGACTCTGATGCAGGCCCAGCATAAGAATACAATTAGAGGCCTACGTGTTCTATTCTAACTATTTAAAAGTTATAGTTCTGACTAACAAACTGTTAACTAAAATATGTTCTGTCTTCCTCCTCTGAGAAATGTACCTTGTTAATGATTTGGAAAGTCAGACATAAATTCAGAATTCTCAGACTTTTAGAATTCCATGGAGGAACCTGATAGCTCTGGGAGAGCTGGCTTTGGGCCCTCCATCCCCAGCTGCAGGCTGCAGCCCACCCTGTGTTCTACGTCTTGCTCCATCCTGCTCAGCAAGGGCCTTTACACATGGCCATAGACACCCTGCTCTCCAGTTCCAAGGTCGGGCCAGGTCTCCCATAAAGAGTCACTGTTTGGCTACTCCTGTGGTCTTGAGGTGAGCACACTGGGGTCAAGTCCTCCTGCAAGAGGAAGGGTCTGGGGAAGGAGATCATGCAGGCATCACTGGGTATGAGCCCAGAGCTGTTTGGCTGGGAATTATGAGGACCCACATACCCAAGACTGTAGTCTAGAAGGGGAGAGGCACTGTGGGCTCCAGGAGGGCAGATCCACCTGGCCCTGAGGTCTCCTCCCCTCTTGGGTGGGGCCTGGGTGGGGGCAAGCCTTCAAAAGCATGAAGCCCAGGGCAGGGGCTCCCTTGTCTGAACAGGAGCCTCTCCCGAACATAGAACTTACCACGAACTCCAAGTCGTCTGTGCAGAAAAAAGGCTACAGAATACTCTGAAGAAGCATACACTGATTGTGCAGAGATTTGAGCCGGTGTAGGCTTTCAATTCGTATTCCTTAAGCAAATTAAACTTACCTTGCTCAGTAGAACGAACCACTTTTGACATCATGGACCGCAGAACAGAGAGCGGCACAATAGAGAAGAGGAAGAACAGCCTGACTGTGAGAGGAATGTTAGAAATCAGAAAACTAACGGTCAGTTTTATGTAAAACATTTTCTAACTATTTTATTTCTATAAGCATCCTAAGTCATTGCATCTAAAGACTGAATGAATTATAGAATTCTATTTAATGAATTAAGATAGAGTATACACAGGTCAGTTTAAGGTTAGCTTACTCTCAAATTCTTAATTGTAGTGTTAGCAACAAGAGCTCATGGAAGACTTAGGCCCACTGGGATTGATCTGCTATCTCCCTACTCATTGTAGTAACCTCTTGCATAGCAAGTTGAGACAAGTAATTAGTTTTTTCTGTTTCTTTTTTAGTTTTTATGTTTCAGACTTGGCATTTATAATGTTAGCATTCTTTTATTATATTGTTTCTTTTATTGATACACTGGTTCTTTATCTTCTTGCTTGTTCATCATTGTGGCTGAATAACTTCATGGACACAAACTGCATCTGGCCATAAATGACCCTGAGCAGTCAGTAGTAATTTTAGGAATATGATAAAATAGTAATATATTACATTTGCAGATCACTTTAAAGTTTTGAACATGTTTCCACATAGATGAACTTACTTGGACTTGGCAACTCTAAGGGAGAGCTAGCATTTATTGGAAACCAGGCATTGTGCTAAACGCTTTCTAGTAATCTCTACTAATGTTCATTATAATCCCCTGAATTAGGTAATACTATGCCCATTTTACAGATGAAAAAATGAAGGCTCAGAGTATTAAATTAACCTGCCCAAGGTCACCTAGTGCTAGAGATGGAAATTAAGCCCCATTCTGTTTGGTTACCCTGTTTCCCTGCTAGGTAGCAAGAGGTTGACACTGCCTTATTATAGAGGAAGACTGGGTTGGACTTTTCCCGAGGCCCCAATTTGCAGGTCCCTTAGCCCTTTCGAATGCAGAATCTCACTCAAGCCCTACAAAAACCATTTATGAGGTAGGTAGTTAAGGAAGCAGTCCAATTTGCCAAAAAGCGGCTCATCAAAAGCTAATTTATGAAATGACCAATCTGTCAAAAGATCAGTATGCAAACCCTTGTCGTAGAGAATTTTTTTCTTGAATGTATTCAGTGAGTGTGAATTTTTCTTCTAAATCTGTAGAGTATACTTTACATAACTGTCTTAAAATTTTTTTTTTATTTTTTATTTTTTTACGGAAAGTAGGCTTCTTAGCAGCATTTTAAGAAATACTCATTTTGGTGAAAGCTATATTGAAGAATTGATTCATAAGAAGAATGTTCCTCAGAACAATTTTTTGGAAAATATGCAAATTTGGAAAACTAGTTATTATCTGAATTACTTTTTCAAAGCAAATTGGTGCTCAGCTTCTGGCAAACTAGATTTTAACAAATTACCTTTAATTGAACTAGAATGCAGTAAGCAGAGGATTTTATATTAAGGTTTCTCACCCAACAGACTACAGTCATTTGCTATAAACCCCAAATACACAGCTAGTTCTATAAGGCTACATTTGTAACTCACCTAAAAGCATCATCAATGTTGTTCTGGCAAAAGCAGTCATAGCCATTCCTGCCATGGTGGTAAAAATGCCAATGAGGGCCATGTAGATATCTTCCATACAGTAAGAAAAACCCCAGATTCCTAGGAAACTAGTCAAAAAAGAGATGCTACCCAAAGCTGACCCATAACCTATAAGAACTTCATTCCAGCAGAGTGGTGAATCCAATTCATAGAGGATAAAAATGGGGGAAATGCCAATTATCACGAAAAAATAAGTGATCATTGTGAAAAGTAACAAACAGAGCAAAGACCGTCGCCCACTGGAAGCATTTTTGAAAAGCATGTACGTTTGGTAAAATAGATTTTTAAAGCCTTCACTACATGATATGGAAACATTCTGAGACAAAGACTCCTCCATTGAGTCACCAAGAAAAAATAAAATATAAATCAAGTTAACAGTAAGAGCCATGGTAATAATGAAAAAGGACCACACGAAACCTAGTTCTCTAATAAAGTAGCCAGAAGACAGCCCTGTTAATCCAGTAACAAGCCCAAGTATGAAATCAATGATAGCTATTCGAATTGTTCTTTGTTTCTCTTCTTTACATTGATCAACTATGTAGGCGAAACAGGCACCCAAAAATGTTGTAGAATTGCCGAAAAGGGCCCCAATAAAGGTAGAGGCAATCAAAAGCTGGAATGGAAAGGCAAAATAGGAAAGCAGACAGAGCCAGGCACTGGTCACAAGAGCTCCAGCAGAAGTCAAAATCAGAGGGAATTTTCGTCCATGATGATCACTGTGGGACAGAAGTATGAATGTAGACAGTAGGCCGGGAATTAACCCACTTATGTCCATTTGTAGATTAAAAAGAGACACTTTTTTCTGAACTTCCTGCAAAGAAATAAAAAGAAGACAATGTGTTTACAGAGGTTTGTATAATGCATATAAAAATAGCATGGTGTATACTTACTACACATTGCCAGAAGGTCAGCGATGGGGAATCTGGTGTGTGGGTTTATACAGCTTAAATATTTGTCCAGTTCACAAACCACACGTCAAAAGGTGATATCATTGTTGCTCAGTCATAACATTCAAGTTCCATGGTGGGGACTTTAACCCATACAAATAAAACCGTGTGTATTAATATGTGTGTGTCTCACATAGGGGATCCATGGGCCCCAGGCCTGGGGGACTGGCCCTGTAATGAGTTTTCTTTCCTGTCTGAGCAGCTGGCACTGAGAGATCAGGTCGCTGCTCTAACACCACAGCAGTGTCCCCTCCCGTGATACGTCTTTCCCTCCCCTCTAAGGGGGAACGAATGTCAGGTGTAAATGTCATATTTGGTAGACCTTATTTAGGAAGAGCTCCTATATCCTTTTTACATGTAACTTCACAAACAGATTAGTGAGAAACATTCCTTTATTTACTAAAAATTAAGATAAAACCCAAAGAGGAACTTTGCACTGACTAAAAATGGAGGTGTGAGGTAAACCGAGTGGGAGAAACTCAGTTCTCCCGAGAACCAAAACGACTGTGTGCACACACAGACTGGCAGCTGTCACAACTGTTACACTGGTTATTTGACAGAAAGAATTTGGGGGGATTTAAAATCATTTTCTGCTTGCAACTTCTCTGTATTTTACAAATTTTATATAAAGAGTATGTGCCATTTTTATATTGGAGATTACTAAGCTCATTTAAAAGCTATTTATTCAAGTAATATTTAGAAAGCACCCCAAACAACTGATGAACCACAAGGCTATCAAACACTGAATTAATGTGTTTTTTAAAATAGTGAGCCTATTTTTATTTTTACACAGTCATGTAATTCAAACAATTCCATGTGGCCAGGAAATGTTCTCATCACTCAGACTCAAAACTTCGGCATCTTAGTTGTGGCCTTTCCTTCGCTGGCGCCCCACTGACACCCTCCATTCTGCCCACCCCGTGTTTCTCGGGCCTTTTTCCTTCCTTCCAGTAGTAGTTGCCAATGGAGAACAACTCTCATTAGTGTCCACCTGGGCCACTCTGGCATCTGACTGGTCTCTATTCAATTCAGTAAGTAGTGCGGGTATTCTCATTTGCAGATCACAGACACCCCATCGGCATGCCTTCAGCCTGCCCAGAAGCTCCAGGCTCTCCCCACTTCCTGTTAGAGACAGGGGACGCTCCTCAGTCTCGTGCTAAGGCCAGGAAGATTCGTTCCAACCTCATCTGTCAGCATTGTCCCCACTCACTCCCCAAATGCTCTGTAAGTGCCAGGCACAGTGCAACTTGGATCTCCCTGAAAGTCCCAAACAGATGCAGCCTCTCCTTCCTCTGAACCTTCTCTCATGAGTATCACTGCCCAGTCGGACTTTCTGGCATAATGACTAAGACTGGGCTCTGGCGTCAGAGGAATCCGATTCTGATCCAGCCAGTGAGAATGCTCTTTACAGCAACTGGAATGACTTTACAAACATCGGCTCCTGCCGCTCCCCCGCTCAAAATCCCCTCATGGCTGTCCTCGTGTGGGGAGAAATCCAACTCCTTGCGGTTGTGGGGGCAGCCTGAAATCGTGACCCCTCCAATTTCATGCACTTCCTCACCCCTCCCACCCCTCAAACACTCCATGCTCATTTGCTTTTGCAGTTGCTGTTCCCTCTGCCCGACTGTCACACAGCTCATTTCCTCAATTCAAATGTCACCTCCTTGGAGGGCCTACTATGATGGATCACTTAACCCAAAGCAATTCCACTAACCCCATCAAGGGCTCTATCCTGCCACCTAGTTTTCTTTAGACTTAACACTCCCTGACAGGACACAGCTTCAGTGACCCACTCTCTGTGTGCCTCCTCCACTCTGACCCATACACTCCAGGGGAGCCAGACCTTACTCTCTTCACCACAGTACCGCTGGCTGGCTTCTGGGACAGTGCTTGGCACAGGGTAGATACTTAATCGTGACTGAATGAATCAGTGAATGAATGAGCAAGTAAAATATGCCTCTGGAAGTTGCTGTGATCCTGACCAAATTATTTCTTTCTATAGCTTCTTTATTGGACAAGAGGGGATAACAACAGCCCTTACCTTGCAGGCTGTTGTGAGTTAAAGTACGTATAACATGCTGGGCACAAGGCCCATGTACATGATCAGTGCTCATTCAATTTTAGCTGCTTCATTTTTATTAGATCAGGCTTCTTGAGCACATTTTTGTATCTCCTACAGATATAGCAGCCATCAGGTATGTACTGGATAATTAAATAAATAAATGAAACAGTTACCTTTTAATCAACTTTTCAACAGGATGTTCTGGTTTGGGGTTCCTCCTTCCATTTCCCCCCTCCACCTAAGTCCTGTCTTCTCCTTTCTATCTGCTGTCATTCCTGACCCAATCTTTCACTCAGGCCACACTCCTTGCCTCTAGCCTATGTTTTAAAATACATATTTAAAAAAAGACAAACTCAAAGCATATTTCAATTATAAGTCAAAATTAAGACATAAGTTGTCTGTGTACCTTTGAAACATGGGAGAATTACAATTATATAATATTAAAGGGTAAATGAGAGAAATCAGAGTAAAAAAAAAGTGCTATTTCTTATCTAAGACTGGACAGAATGACAATGTACTGAGACAGGAATAAATTAAGGAAAGTAATATCGATTTTAAAGCAGTCACAATTTCATAGGCCAAAATGTACGTATTAATTCCAATTAAATAGAAAATGTTCCTTGTCTGCTGATAACAAGGGATTGTGTTATTAAAAGGTTTATATATAGCCCTGGCCAAGTGGCTCAGTTAGTTGAGCGTCATCCTGTGCACCAAAGGGTTGCAAGTTCAATTCTCGGGCAGGGCACATGCCCGGATTGTGGGCTCAATCCCCAGTAGAGAGTGTGCAGGAGACAGATGATTGATTTTTCTCTCTCCCTCTCCCTTCCTCTCTCTCTAAAATCAATAAAAACATATTTTTCTTTAAAAAAGGTTTATATATAAACTGTTGAGCAAGAATAACTTTGTGATCTGTTGGTAACCCTAAGTTGTCCCCTCCAGTAGCAAAGTCCCTATCTTGAAAGTTGTTTGAAGGGAACGAGATCCCAATGGCCAACTGAACATTTAACAAAGGAAGGAGGGAGTGGTAAGGGGATTAAAAATTAATGCATTCCTCCACAAAAGTCAACAAACACACCTAGAATTTCCTACCTCTTTACCCTTGGCCAAGAGTTTCCTCCCCACAGCCTCCCCATTTTGTCAAGAGCTCCTTTGGAGATTTCTCTCATTGCCAGAGAGCAGTGTGTAGATGAACCTCATTGTTACAGGGCTCAGAAAACTTGAAGATTTGAAAAATAGGTTAGATCAATTTTTTTGTAATTGTATATATATTATGTATATATCTCAATACCAAATGGGTTGAAAAAGAAGACTCATCCATACAGATTTTTAAATGTTAAATGGAAGTGAAATAGCTCAGTTTACTCTTATAGCTGTACCTTGAAATTCACAGTATTTTTTCATTCCAATACATGTACATGTATGTGTATTTGTTATGTAGGAAGAATAAAGAAATATGCTGTAACAGTAAGAAGTTCAACACTTTATTGTATTATGCACTCTTTTCACACATAACTGACCTTTTGTGGGAGTGGCAAAAAACATCTGAGCTGGAAAAATCATTCATTCATTCATTCATTCATTCATTCATTCATTCATTCATTCATTCAGGGACTGACCGTGTGCTAGGACATCTCTTATTTTTAGGGTTATAAGGACAGTCAACACACCGCTACACTTCTTTTAGTGAGCAAGTGGCCAGAACCCACTCAGCAGAGCTGGGTATTGGGACAGAAACTCAGGAAACAGAAACATTTGTTTTTGGATTTGAAAGGATGAGAATATTCTCTGAGAAGCTGAGCAGGAACAGTATACAAAAAAGGGGCTAGAAAGAAGTGCTAACGGTGATGGGGGCTCCTAAGAAGCAAAAATGTTCCTCTGTCTGAAGGAGCAAGAGGCGAGAGGGCCTCCATGGCTGGTTCCAGTTGTGGATGGGGGTAGGGCTGGTTTCTAGTTCCCCAAGCTGGAAAAAGCACCTGTGGCTCTAGATCACCAACTTTAAGGGAAGGGATCTAGGGCAGTATGTTCTCTTGACTATTAATCCAAATGAAAAACAATAAATTAAACAATAGTCAATTAAAAAATTTGGCAAAAATCTTCAAAATGAGACTGCTGTTCCAGACAGAAGGGGCTCTCAGCCAATATCCATCACCTGCACAGTCACAGAAGCAACCAAGGTGGCTAGACCGAGGCCTGTCTCCATTCACTCTAACAGGGGAAGGGCAGCCGACTTTTTTGATTTTCCGGTCCTCTCCTCTCCCTCCCCTCCAGTGCTCCCAGAGATCTGGTGAGCCTACTGAACCTTCTCACTCACTTAGGAATAACATATAGATCATAGGAAACATTTTTGAAGGAAGACTAAACCATGAGGTGAGACCTGGGCCCTTCTATTTTTATGACCTCACCCTAGGCTAGAACCTTGATGTCTGCATGGCTGTCCAGAAATTATCAGTTCCAATAAATTTCTCCCATGGAAATGAGGAAATGAGTTACCAGTAGGGACCATGCCCAAGAGCCAGTCCTCACCACAGCAAGGGAATGCCTGGGAGACCACTTCAGGAAGAGCTGCAGCTTTCCTTCAGGGGCACTTTGCCATTTCTTCCAGCACTCAAACTCCTCTCCCAGTCACACCTGAATTCTTTTTTTTTTTTTCTAATATGTTTTTATTGATTTTAGAGAGAGGAAGGGAGAGGGAGGGAGAGAAATATAAATATCAATGATGACAGTGTCATTGATTGGCTGCCTCCTGCACACCCCCTACTGGGGATGGAGCCTGCAACCTGGGCATGTGCTCTGACCGGGAATCCAACCAGGACCTCCTGGTTCATAAGTCGATGCTCAACCACTGAGCAACACCAGCCCAGCCACACCTGAATTCTCTTTTCCTCAGAGGACACTCTTAGAGCCAGCAGGCAGGTGACTTGAATTCCCATAAACTTTCCTTGTCCTTTGACAGCACCACCCTTTTGCCATCACAAAATATCCTCAAGGGGAAGAGTTCGAAGTTAATAAATGTCTGGTTTTGAGGCATTAGGGGGGAGGGGAATACCAAATCGGGATACTATGTTGTTTGCATTTGGACATTGGCAGACTCTGTTAAAAACTGCGTGAGGGGACAGGAGAATGGTGATGGACCTCTTGTTTTAAATGGATAAAAAATTGGGGGAGGAGAGAAAGAAGGAAAGGCTCTATAATATCTGACTAAATATTTCCAGGTGTCCTCAGAGCAAAACTGAGTGCTCTTCCCCCTACGTGTACCCGCGCATGGGGGTCAAAGCTGACTTGGTGTCACCAAATGATGAGTGACCAGTGCTGTCCCACCTCCCACCCCATGACAGAGGCTGGCCCCACAGTCTTCAGTGATGGGTCATGCATGTGCCATGGAAGGGGGGTGGGAGGAAGTGAGCAAGGGAAGGGCAGAATCACCATGTTTCACCACCACCCTCTCTGTCCACAGAACCCTCATTCGTGCTGGCCTTGGTCCAACTCTTAGGCTTTTGGGCGGACTTCAAGGGGGATGGAGGAAGGAGAGAGCCACAGAGGAGATGAGACTGCTCTGACATTTTCTGACAGGAGGAAGAAGAGCCAGTGTCACAGAAGAAGGGGATTTTAAGTGGCAGAGGCAGGCGAAAGGTGTCAGGAAACCTCAAACTGGATGAGAGCTGAAGACACGCACTTGGGCGTGGGTTAGGAGTTTCATGATGGCCCTCGAGAGATCAATGTGTGATGAGTGTGATGTACTCTTCCGTGTAAAGCCCCATTACACTTTTCTTATTATGTTTTAGGGGTATTTTAATCTCTTACCTCCTGGAATGCAAAAATCGGGCTGCTTTTGTTTTTTTCACACTCAGAAACATTGCTCTCAGGTGCAATACTGTAGTTGCTTGTTTCTTCCCATATCCTCCTGTACACGTACTGTGTTGTCAGTGGGGTGGTCAAAGTCAGGGCAAACGCACTGAGGCAAATGGCAGGTTCTACAAGGAAAATCTTCATACTGCTTGGGTAGGTCGCTGAGTTCTTCAAAAAAGAAAAAGGAATGAGATAATGAGTCACATTTTTCTCCAAGAGGCTAGATTTTTACTGACGGGAAAGTCAGAGGAGTTCTGTTGTGTAAGTAAGCAAACTAGGGGACAGAAAGCAGTAAACACTTTCAAAGTGAGTAAGTTTTTCTCTGGAAGAGGGTGCTCGGTGAGCCTGAGACGGTCATGCTTCTCGTTTTAAAGAGTAGAACCTTGTAGGGCTCATACTGTCTTTGGGCCAATTCTATAAAAGGACAAATTGTCACTATTTTGGTGACTCAGTGGTCACACTACTGTCCCCATCTGGCACACTGCGGGCCGGTTCTCATAAGGGAGACAGTGAGGTTACTCAGACATGACAGTTGCGACACTGTTACTGTCATCTGGCTGCTTGTTGACAGCGGGCAGGAGGCGACAGTTTTACAAAGCAGCTCCCAGACTTACAGGGCCTTAATTTTTTTGACTCACCGCACGGTCAGTCTTCCTGCCGGGGTAAGGGCCTGGGGTCCGGCGCGGTCTCCCCCGGGACGGTCTGCGCTCGGCGGGGCCCCGCGCCCCGGATACGAAGGGCAGCCTCGATGGAATCCGACCCGGTGCCCCTGCCAGGGAGACCGCGGCGCTCACCTGCAGCACAGGCAGGAAATCGCACTTCCGCGTCCGCAGCGACCGCGGCCACGGTCCCCGGCGCGGCCGGGCCCGGC